AAAATGACAGAAGTACCATATATTGGACATCTTCTTACCTCAAATGGTGTTAAAGTCGATCCAGAGAAGGTGAGGGCAATACAGGACATGCCTACACCTACAGATATACGTGGAGTACAACGATTCCTGGGCATGGTGAATTATCTTTCCATATTTTGCAAGCATTTATCAGACATGTGTGAGCCACTGAGACAGCTAACTCACAAAGACGTACTCTGGGAATGGACAGAAAGCCATGAAACTGCTTTTCAGTCAGTGAAAAATGCTATTGCAGACGCAGCAACGCTAAAATATTTTGATCCAGATCAAGCAGTGGTAGTACAATGTGATGCCTCAGAAACTGGCCTTGGAGCCACACTAATGCAGGATAAACAGCCAATCACATATGCAAGCAGAGCGTTAACTCTAACAGAGCAAGGATATGCTCAAATCGAGAAGGAACTACTAGCGGTAGTATTTGGGTTAGAGAAATTTCACCAGTACACCTACGGTCGACAAGTGGTGGTGCATTCAGATCACAAGCCTTTAGAAAGTATTACAAAGAAGCCACTACTGAATGCCCCAAAAAGACTGCAGCGTATGCTGTTAAGGCTTCAGAAATATGATTTTAAACATTTGTTACTGTCCAGGAAAGGATTTACTGATTGCAGATGCCCTAAGCAGAGCTTACTTACCCATCACAAATGAAGAAGAAAAAGACATTGAAAGCATCAATATGTGTGAATATCTGTCTGTCTCAAAAGACAGACTGAAACAAATACAGACCTGCACAGCGGAAGATAAAAGTCTACAGATCCTAAAGACTGTCATCTTGAAGGGATGGCCAAAACACAAACAGCATGCTCCAATGGAGGTTTCTCCATTTTTTCATATAAGAGATGAACTCTCTGTGCAGCATGAATCATCTTTAAAGGAGAAAGAGCTGTCATACCAACATCCCTTAGAAGAGGCATTATATAAAGATTGCACTCGACTCACTTAGGTGTAGAAGGATGTCTACGTCGTGCACGAGAATACTTGATAGCACAGTGTGAAATATGTGCATCGTGCAATGATAAGCAACCGAAAGAGACATTGCAACCACATACAATTCCAAACAGACCATGGTCAAAGGTAGGAACAGATCTGTTCACGTGGAACGACAAGGAATATCTGGTAACTGTGGACTATTTTTCCAACTTCTGGGAGATAGACTACTTACAGGACACAAGGGCCAAAACAGTAATTAAAAAACTCAAGGCCCATTTTGCCAGATATGGCATTCCGGATATTGTGTTCTCTGACAACGCCGCTCAATTTACATCGGAAGAATTCAAAAAATTCAGGGAGAGGTGGGAATTTGAGCACCAGACATCATCTCCTGGATATCCACAGAGTAATGGTAAAGCTGAGTCAGCAGTAAAAACAGCCAAAAGACTCATGCAAAAGGCAAAACAGGCAGGTACAGAGATATACCTGTCTATACTGGACCACAGAAACACACCCACACAAGGCCTAGACACCAGTCCAGCACAGCGGCTTATGAGTAGACGTACAAGGACTCTCCTACCAACTGCAGGTCAACTACTAAAGCCAAAGCTTGTGGGCAATGTTAAAGCCAAACTAACGAAGAATCAAGATAGGCAAGCTTTCTATTATAATAAATCTGCAAAAGATCTGCCTGTTCTCCAGAGCAATGAAAATGTACGGATTCAGCCAATAGGCAAATATTATTATTATTATTATTATACAGTATTTATAAAGCGCCAATAGTTCACTCAGCGCTGTACATTACAAAGGGAGACAGAACATGTGACAGAACAATACCAATACAATGCAAAACATGAGGGGATCAAGGGCCCTGCTCTTTCGAGCTTACAATCTAGGAGGGAGGGGGTGGTGGCACAGGAGGAGATAGCTGTGGGGGATGGAGTGGTAGGAAGAGTGGAGGAGGTCGGCAAGTTAGCAGGGGGTGGGGTAGGCTTCCCTGAAGAGATGGGTTTTCAGGGTGCGCCTAAAGGAGAGGAGAGTAGGTGATAATCTGATGGGTTGGGGCAGGGAGTTCCAGAGGATGGGTGACAGCCTGGAGAAGTCCTGGAGGCGGGCATGGGAGGAGGAGACCAGGGAACTAGAGAGAAGGAGGTCTTGTGAGGAGCGGAGTGTGCGTGTTGGGCGGTACTTGGATATTAGGTCAGAGATGTAGTACGGGGCAGTATGGTGGACAGCTTTGTACGTCAGCGTTAGGATTTTGAATTTGATCCGTTGCGCAATCGGAAGCCAGTGGAGGGATTGGCAGAGGGGGGTGGCGGAGACAGAGCGGTTGGAAAGGTGGATGAGTCTGGCAGCCATGTTCAGGATGGACTGAAGAGGGGATAGCCAGCGGCGAGGCAGGCCAGTGAGGAGGGAGTTGCAGTAGTCGAGTCGTGATATGATGAGGGAGTGGATGAGCTGTTTAGTGGTTTCTGGGGTTAGGAACGTGCGGATTTTGGCGATGTTGCGGAGGTGGAGTCTGCACGAGTTTGACAAATATGACAAACACTGGAAAAAAGCGAAGGTTGTACAGAAATTGGGACCACGGTCCTATGAAATTATAACAGAGGAAGGAAGAAGATGGAGGAGAAATCTGAGACATCTGAGAAAAACACAAGAAGGAGATGATACAGGGCCCTGGGAACAGTATATGGACACTCAAAGCGATGAGACTATGAATACCAGCAACAAAGAAACAGGGACTGCTGAGGAGCATAGGGAGGTCTCTAGGCAGAGAGAGACAGTCCCAGAAAATAGACTGCCAGAATCAGAAGAACACCAAGATTTCTGTGAAGAAACCTCATATGTTACGCGAGCTGGCAGAACAATCAGAAAGCCGGCTCACCTCAAGGATTATATCTAATTTATAGCTATGTTCTACTTTACCATTTTGTGTTTGTTATATTTCATTGTTCTTTTATTTAAAAGAGAAAGGATGTAGCAATATGTTATATACTGTGTATGGCCTCTAGGGGTCTCACTACTTAGATACTGGTACAACTGTGTTATTCCCACTCTTTGGTTGTAGTTCTTATGCAGACACATGTATAATGGCAGCTAGGAGCACCTAATAAATGTCTCCTACTAACTACAGTGTGTGAGCATCTGAGCAGGATCTACTAACAGAACACACTAAACAGCTCATCCACTCCCTCATCATATCACGACTCGACTACTGCAACTCCCTCCTCACTGGCCTGCCTCGCCGCTGGCTATCCCCGCTTCAGTCGATCCTGAATACGGCAGCCAGACTCATTCACCTTTCCAACCGCTCCGTTTCCGCCACCCCCCTCTGCCAATCCCTCCACTGGCTTCCGATTGCGCAACGGATCAAATTCAAAATCCTAACACTGACGTACAAAGCCGTCTACCATACTGCCCCGAACTACATCACTGACCTAATACCCAAGTACCGCCCAACACGCACACTCCACTCCTCACAAGACCTCCTTCTCTCTAGTTCCCTGGTCTCCTCCTCCCATGCCCGCCTCCAGGACTTCTCCAGGGTGTCACCCATCCTCTGGAACTCCCTGCCCCAACCCATCAGATTATCACCTACTCTCCTCTCCTTTAGGCGCACCCTGAAAACCCACCTCTTCAGGGAAGCTTACCCCACCCCCTGCTAACTTGCCGACCTCCTCCACTCTTCCTACCACTCCATCCCCCACAGCTATCTCCTCCTGTGCCACCATCCCCTCCCTCCTAGATTGTAAGCTCGAAAGAGCAGGGCCCTCAATCCCCCCATGTTTTGCATTGTATTGGTATTGTTCTGTCACATGTTCTGTCCCCCTTTGTAATGTACAGCGCTGAGCGAACTATTGACGCTTTATAAATACTGTATAATAATAATAATCTCTAGTAATGTCTCTGGTAATGATCAGGAGCTGACAGGACCGGCTCCCTATCATGTGACCAATCTGAACACCAATCACAGTGGTCACATTGGGCAGTCTTTTTCACCCCTCCAGGGGTCACCAGGGTGGGTGGTAGGGGGTTAAAGTGACAGTCCAACTTTTGCCAAAAACTTCTTAATACAGCAACACTGATGTTATTATCAATGTGTATTTGCTAATAAACAAACAAACTTTCAAAGTCTTCTCCCAGCCTCATGTTCAGACGGAGGACTATATTGGCTGGTAAAAGTGCAGCTTTAACTACAGGAGCAGGAGGGATAGGAGGGAAAGGGATCACCTACATTGTGCATAGTCCCTCTGCTGCGGTGGCATATGGGACATGTAGTAATCCTTCGCTTATATTCCCAGGCTGGATGGCACGACTGTGAGGGGTCCATGCCAAGTAAAATAATAACAGATTTCTGCAGGGAGAAGAGTCCTGCAAATTAGGTAAGTGGTGTGGTAAGTGATGTTCCAGTTTTGGGTGGACAAAAGTAAATTGGATTCTCCAATGGCTTCTTTAGATTTTTCTGGTTTTATTAGCAAGATATCTCTAGCAGATGTGATCCTCACCCTTCCCACTTGGCTAAGTCAAAAGTGTCACCCCCTTCAAAGGCTGTATTAAAAAAAATGCTTTTTCTGTATTATGTAGGATCTTTTTGAAAGATCAAGACACCATCATTGGGCTTTGTAGTGGAATGTTTATGGTGCAGTATTTGTAAATGTTTTTTTTAGAAATCTGGCCACTGCAATCCTCAAATCCGCTGGAAACTAGGTTGTAAGGCTGGCCACACACAGTTAACATCTTTTTGTTTAGCCAGTGGGCTAAAACTAACAGATTCCTCCATCCACACAAACAAGGTGGATGAAGGAATCACTCCCACCAGGACATGGCCAACTTAAATCTACATGGCAGCACCATACATTTACGTAGTATTTTGTCATACATTTTCAGATCTACAAAGTTGAACAGCTAAATACGCAGATGAATTACATATCAGAAACGTTTTCCTGATAAAAATATTTGTACTTTTCCCCATCCCTGTACGGCTGATTAATACCACATATACAAAGAACCAAAGGACAGCAAGTTAATAGTTAATTTTGTATATTACCTGTTGCTTCTACCATTCCTTCTAAAATGACCACAATCTCCAGGTCTTCTTTTGGTAACTGAGCTTTTGATATATCCCAGAACGGGCTGTGTTGGTTGATTTCATGGCTTATAATTAGTGGGGAAACCAAGAACAGGCGATCGTCCCCAGTATCGTACCCAACATTGATGTCCGTTTGGTTCAATGGTATAAACTCGCCCTCCTTCGTCTGTTTGGATTTGATCAACTTAGCCCGTATGGACGCCTCTACGATATGTGAGTTCCTGAGATCTCCTACCCGGAACATCAGACACAGTTTTCCATCCCTCATGGAGATGACGGCATTGGTTGAAAAGACCAAGGTCTCAGCCCTCTTCTTGGGTTGGGAAATTTTAACAAACATGCAGCCCACCATAAAAGCATTCACTATGGAACCTAAAACGGACTGAACTAACAGTAGAATAATGCCTTCAGGACACTTGTCTGTGATGACCCGATGCCCATAGCCAATGGTTGTCTCTGTCTCTATGGAAAATAAAAAAGCTGAAACAAACCCATTGAGATTATCCACACAGGGGCTCCAGCTTTTGTCTTGTAAATGGTCCAGATCTCCTCGAATATATGCTATAAGCCACCATATCATTCCAAAGAACAACCAAGTCACTGTGTAAACCATGACAAATATCAGCAGGTTAAACCTCCATTTTAGGTCTACCAAGGTGGTGAAGATGTCACTCAGGTAGCGGTAAGTCTCTCTGACATTCCCATGGTGAACATTGCACTTGCCATCCTTTCGAACATATCTCTGGATCTTCCTTTTTGTGCATTTCTGTTTGATGAGGTCCTCCCGGGCTTGTTTTGGGAGCTTTGGTTGCCGTGTGGAGATTGGGCTCTCCACGTCTTGCTCCATCAGGGCTCAGCGGAGTTGTTGAGGCTGGGAAGCTGGCAACATAAGAGAGAAAGAAATAAAACAGAGTTAAAAAGGTTTAAGTACATGTGACTCTTAACTGAACAACATTTAGTTTGCTTAAGCATTGTATATAATAAACAATGGCCACTAAAAAGAATTCTCCATTGGAAGATTTCCCCTCACCTCAAATCTGGTGATAAGTGCCTATATTTTGAATGGCAGCGAAGGGTCAGAAGCTCCGTTAGATTGTTAGTTCTCTTTTTGCTCAGTGGCTGAAAACGAGCAGAAATCATTAAATCTGTCCGTCAGTGGAATAGGAGTGGGGAAATATTGTACAGGGGACACAGTTTCCAGAGACAGTTGTCAAAGGTGGGCATTCTTCTCAAATGGGGGAAATTTGCTTTTAATTCCTGTCTCCAGGACAGGAAATAAGTGGAAATCTTTACAATGGGGCACAGACAACAATAAAACCTTTAGATTGCTTCCAACCCTTTCCAAATAACAATTTTCTGGAACTTTAAAGCGGAACGTCACCTGAGAAGGAAAGTTCTACTTATCCTCTTCCTCCCCCCTTCCTCTGCATGTATTGAAAAAAATTTTTTTTCTGGGATACCAATTTCTGGCAGTTATCCATTCCTACTTTGCCTAGGCCTAACGGAACTTTGCCCCCCCCCCCACCTCCTGGAGATTGCAGGACCATTCAGATAGCTCAGTGCATCTTGCGTGGGCACAGTAGGAAGCCGGATGTGAAACACTTGGAAGCCACAGCCAGCTTCCCACAAGCAAGATGGCGGTGCTGGGGACACGCACACTGGCGATGAAGTGCCCCAGGTGATCACACCGGGCTGGTAAGCGTCTGTATATTAAAAGTTAGCAGTTACAGTATTTTCAGTTGCTGACTTTAAATTTATTAAAAACTGACTGGAGATCCTCTTTAAGCTATAAATGACCAAGGACCATGCAGGGGGAGGATGTTGCTTGAGTTGACTATTTTTGCTCTCCCCCCCCCCCTTTCCCCTATTTAGTACATTGCTGGCCAGACCCATAACGTTATTAGCTGTCATGGTGCTGGTGGCTGCCCATACCAATCAATAATGCTGTGTGGCTCAGGTGCAGAACATACACAGGGCTGAACATGCACTGAGGATGGCGTATCCATTATGGACACTCCAGTCTCACTGCTGCCCCCCCCCCAATACCTCCATAAGTGTCTCCTGAGGTGGCTGCCGCATGGGTGACACGGCGCTAGTTGTGAAAAAGATGAAAAAGACAAGGTACAACAATTTTATTTTAGAGTGGGTCCCTTTGCAAAAATATATATGGCAGACTTTAGACAGCCAAGCAGTAAGCCAGTCGCAAAACTGACTGTTCCTTTTTTCTTTTTTTTTACAGACAATTTTCTGCTTTGGTATTAGTGAATTAATCTGGAGGAGAAAGGACCATAAAGAATGGTAGTCTAACAGGGTGGTAATTAGGAGGTACAGAGTCCCTAGAGAAGTGGTGCTTGCTCCTTTATGGTATTAAGGGGAATATGTGTAAGAATCCTTCAAAAACATTGACAGGAAATAGCAAGTGACTTACTTTATATTGCATATATGATAGGATGTACATTGGGCCATTCAAACCCCTAAGGACTACTATGTTTTTATTAGCCAGGACATTTTTCTTTAAAAGCGATTTGCTACTAAGGATTTGACTCCCCTGTCTAGAAGTGTTAAACCTCTTTAAGGTTATTATTGATATCTGTGTCCTTTTTGGGGAACATTTGTGCTGATATCCTGTCTCTTGAGACAGATGTCCCTGAGACAGGAGGAAGAAACCTCTCCAACAGCCGCACACACAACAATACATTAACCTTTTTTTATAAAGTTGGGAAGGTTTTTGTGATTGTCCATGTCCCCACTGGGTGGATTTCTTCTCATAGCCGGTCACTTAAAATACAGATAGCCAGACCAGGGATGTCTGAATCCAGAGGTCTGCTACCACCCACCCCATACATTTAAAACTTGTCATGGAAGAACTATTATTTGTAGGGTGGTAATCCTAGGAGCTGTGATGAAAAAAAAATATATGCAAAGTTCACCAAAAAAAAGAAAACAAAAGTAGAGATGAGAGAGCCCTTAGAGTGTAGTAAATATACAGTATTTTTGGAAGGTGATGATTTGACAAAAATTAAATGCCCTTACATTTATTAAGGTTGTGGGCAACCAAAATTTATGGTAAAGACAACCTTCCACTTTAGAATGCAAAGAATATCCCTGACTCCATTCAGAAGGGTGGGTGATTGCACTTAAGGCCTCTAGGTAACACAACCCTAGGTCCTCAGGAGAGATAGGGTGGTGGATTGAACATTACCAGTATTTAAATACAGGCATACTTTTACCAGGTCAATGAATCAGAAAGTGTATTGCACCCAAAAGACCACCATGATAGCCATGCAAAGTCTGCATAGATAGCCTCCATATTTATACTATATGGATGGAGATAAAAAAAAACCCTCAGGGGTTAAAGCAGAAGAGGTACCTTGGTTGTATTGCTTTGATGGCCATGGAAAGGTTGAAGTCATCAGAAGTATGGTTATTGGTATCAATTGTCTAATTCATAATTTTGAAGATTTCAACCTTTCCATGACCATCACGCAATACGAACAAGATGCCTCTGCCACATTAACCTTTGAGGGTTTTTTATCTCCATCCATATAATAGAAATATGGAGGCTATCTATGCAGACTCTGTATGGCTATCATGATGGTCTTCTGGGTGCAATACATCTTCTGATTCATTGACCTGGAGCAAGTATGCCGGCATTTTAGTACTGGTAATGTTTACAGCATACTTGACAATCTTTTTGAACTTTAAAAAAGCTCAGACTTAGTTTTATTGTTTTACAGCAGCTCTGAGGGGAGGCTGTGTTTCAGGGAAATAAGGAACCAATGGTTGGATCTTTGCTAGCATTTTAAAAGTTGTTCTAAAGACTGAAGTTTTTTTTACCTTCATGCATTCTGTATACAGTGCCTTGAAAAAGTATTCATACCCCTTGAAATTTTCCACATTTTGCCATTTTACAAGCAAAAACATAAATGTATTTTGTTGGGATTTTATGTGATAGACCAACACAAAATGGCACATAATTGTGAAGTGGAAGGAAAATGAGAAATGGTTTTCAAATGTTTTTACAAATAAATATGTGAAAAGTGTGGCGTGCATTTGTATTCAGCCCCCTTTACTCTGATACCCCTAACTAAAATCTAGTGGAACCAATTGCCTTCAGAAGTCACCTAATTAGTAAATAGAGTCCACCTGTGTGTAATTTAATCTCAGTATAAATACAGCTGTTCTGTGAAGCCCTCAGAGGTTTTTTTGGAGAACATTAGTGAACAAATAGCATCATGAAGGCCAAGGAACACACCAGACAGGTCAGGGATAAAGTTGTGGAGAAGTTTAAAGCAGAGTTAGACTATAAAAAAAATCCCAAGCTTTTGAGCATCTCACGGAGCACTGTTCAATCCATCATCCGAAAATAAAAAGAGTATGGCACATCTGCAAACCTACCAAGACATGGCCGTCCACCTAAACTGGCAGACCGGGCAAGGAGAGTCAGAAAAGCAGCCAAGAGGCCCATGGTCACTCTGGAGGAATTGCAAAGATCCACAGCTCAGGTGGGAGAATCTGTTCACAGGACAACTATTAGTTGCGCACTCCACAAATCTGGGCTTTATGGACGAGTGACAAGAAGAAAGCCATTGTTGAAAGAAAGCCATAAGAAGTCCTGTTTACAGTTTGTGAGAAGTCATGTGGGGGACACAGCAAACGTGGAAGAAGGTGCTCTGGTCAGATGATACCAAAATTGAACTTTTTCACCTAAAAGTGGCAGAAAACTAACACTGCACATCACTGTGAACACACCATCCCCACTGTGAAACATAGTGGTGGCAGCATCATGTTGTGAGGATGCTTTTCTTCAGCAGGGACAGGGAAGCTGGTCAGAGTTGATGGGAAGTTGAATGGAGCCAAATACAGGGCAATCTTAGAAGAAAACCTGTTAGAGTCTGCAAAAGACTTGAGACTGGGATGGAGGTTCACCTTCCAGCAGGACAACGACCCAAAACATACAGCCAGAGCTTCAATGGAATGGTTTAGATCAAAGCATATTCATGTGTTAGAATGGCCCAGCCAAAGTTCAGACCTAAATCCAACTGAGAATCTGTGGCAAGACTTGGAAATTGCTGTTCACAGACACTCTCCATCCAATCTGACAGAGCTTGAGCTATTTTACAAAGAAGAATGGGCAAAAATGTCCCTCTCTGGGTGTGCAAAGCTGGTAGAAACATCCCCAAAAAGACTTGCAGCTGGAATTGCAGCGAAAGGTGGTTCTATAAAGTATTGAGTCCGGGGGGGCTGAATACAAATGCACACCACACTTTTCACATATTTATTTATAACAAAATCCATTTTGTTTATAACAAAAACCATTTATCATTTTCCTTCCACTGCACAATTATGTGCCATTTTTGTGTTGGTCTCTCACATAAAATCCCAATAAAATACATTTACGTTTTTGGTTGTAACATGAGAAAATGTGGAAAATTTCAAAGGGTCTGAATACTTTTTCAAGGCACTGTATAGATATATATATGTATATATATACTTTCATTGTGCAGCTCCCTCCCCAGCCCCCCCCCCCCTAATACTTACCTGAGCCCAATCTTGACCCAGCGATGTGCATGAGAGCAGCGGCTCTCCTGGGTCTCTCCCTCCTCATTGGCTCCCACTGCTGTCAATTACACCCAGTGAGGAGGGATTGAGCCACGGCCTGTGTGACATATAGACACATATAGCTAGCTCGGGAGTGAACAGGCATGAGTGCCACCAGAGCAAGCAGCTTGCTATGGGGGCACTGAGAAAGGAGGAAGTGCCAGAAGCAATGGCGGGGGAACTGAGAAGAAGGGGATCGAGGCTGCTCTGAGCAAAACCATTAGACAGAATAGGTAAGTATGACAT